ATTTAAATTAGTTTTGTTTATTTTACTTTTAGATCCTTAACTACTATTATTTATATTGAAGTCAAGTTTTGATAAAAATTCACGAATCTATTTTCTCTGTATTCAAGGAGACTTTCTTAGACTATATAAACTCAAATGCTGCTCCTTAAGTGATTGTGGTATAGAAAAATTCTAATAAAACAAAGTTATATTACTATAAACTTTTTACTTCAATTAGTAAAGATAATCTTGCCAAAACATACTTCACTAGAATCCTTGAGAAGGCATAGCCTGCTGCTAGACTAACAAATATGCAATTGGTATACATTATAATAGTATGCCAAGTAATACTTAATGCTTATTATAAAAAACTAAATATAGGTAATAAAATAATTATAAATAGATTAAACAAAAATATTGTAATATATATTTAATTATACTTATTTTATTTAAATATATTTTTATAATTCTAATGTATTTAATTTAATTAATTAAAGATAAGTTAGCAGCAAGCACCGTCTTTTTCTCCTACTACTGATGATAAAGAATCATTAACCGAAAATGAACAAGTCAAAGTCATAGCATCATCAAGTAAGCAAGGTCAAAAAAGAAAGAAAGCTTCCACTTAACTCGAACAATATCATGATTATCTAAAAAAAGAAAAAGTGCTATCATTGTACCTTTCCTGGTTTCCACTCATCATTCACTAACATATTCTGATATATCCAATTTATATGCTTCCAATTTGCATTAACCCAAACACACCCAAACTATTTTATCCAAATCTGATAATCCTTCAACCAACCTAGCTATATTCTCTTCTACTTCATTCATATATCCTCTACCAACAACTTCCTCTATTCATTCTACACCAACAACTTCTTTTGTCTATCCTTCACCAACAACTTCAGATGATGCTAGCCATCAAAACCTGCCACCACTACCTCCTACACAAGAATAAATATAAAATATATTTTTTTATGATAACAATAATTGTTTTTTTTTTTTTAATATTTTATATATATATATATACCAATATTATATTTTTTTTATTTTTGTTTTTTTTTTGTTATTTTTATTTTATATATATATTTATATATTATTATTATTATTATTATTATTATTATTTAATATATTCATATTTTGCTATCAAATATAATTGATTAAATTTAAGTTATATTATTTTATTTTAAGCTAATTCAAAACAATTCGAATTTAATCAAATAAATTCAAATTAAGCTGACAGTTTGTGATTAAAATTAAATATATTAAAATATATAATTTCTATTTTATATTTAAATTAAATTTGATTAAACTCAAATTAATCTATTTTTTTAGTTTAAATTATATCGATTTATTTTAAGTTAATATGAAACAGATTGAATTTAAACAAAAAATTCAAATAAATTTAATGATATTCAAATTACTTTAAATGTATTAAAATAATTTCTATTTTATATTTAAATTAAATTTGATTAAACTCAAATTAATCTATTTTTTAGTTTAAATTAAATCAACTTATTTTAATTTAATGTGAAATAGTTTGAATTTGATTAATTAACTTCGAATTAAGCAGACAATTTGTGATTTACATTAAATAAATTTAAATAATTTCTATTTCATATTTAAATTAAATCCAATTAAACTTCAAATTTATTAAAATATTTACTATTTCATATTTAAATTAAATCTAATTAAACTCAAATTAATCTAATTTTTAGTCTAAATTGAATTGATTTATTTTATATAAAGTCAAATAAATTGTAAATTAAAATAATTTAATTTAATTTAAATAAATTTAGATTAATTCAAATTTATTTAAATAAATTTAATTTATAATTTTAATTACTTATATAATTTAAATTGTTTTAATATTGTTTAATGATATTTTAAATATGATATATTTCATTTTAAATAAATTTATTTATATAATTTAAATTATTTAATTCAATTTGCTTTAATTCGAATTATTTCGAATTATTTAAATATTTGTTATTATATTTATCATATTTCAAATTCAGTTTATCCAATTCAAATTTATTTAAGCAAATTCAACTCTTTCCACTAATCTTTTTTTACCAAATTCACAAAAAGAAACACTACTAGCTAGAAGAAAAACTAGACTAAGTTACAGCACAAACAGTATTAAGAAAAAAGGAAAATTACCAAAAACAAATAAAAGGTTTATAGAAGATAGAACATCTTAGCAAATAATAAAAGGCTACAGCATGGATAACTAATCTTTTCACAAGACAAAAACTACACTAAAATATTTTTTTCCAAAAGCTGGAGATATACAATAGACCCTATATTGCAGATCTATTTACAAGCATAAATACAAAAACAAAACAAAAATATAAACAAATATGTAAACAAATTACATAAGCAAAACACTATAGCAACTGAGAACATAATACAAGAATCAGTGATACAAGATAATCAAAAAATATCTAATAGTATAAACTAGTATAAGAAGTTAGACAAATACTAACAAATCTTTATCAGAACAGAAGATAAATTCAAAGAAATAAAGAAAGCTCATGAGCCAGAAGTATTAAGAGTAGACAGAGAGCTAGCAGCAATAACAGGTGCAGTGCTAGAGATAATATATTTTTTTAGAAATATTATAGAAATAAACAACTACTGTGAATATATCAAAATAAGAGATAGAGAAAAACCTACTAGCAATAAAAATAGTAATAGTAATACAAAAAACTTAGATACAAATAGTCTGATAGATAGTCTAATTAAACAAGAAGTAGGTTAACTAGATTTTGGAACTAAAGAAACTAGAAACAAAAATAAACAAGAAAACAAAAAAGCTATACAAATAGCTAACTCAAATGAAAAATCTGACAATATAGAAATAGTTAAAAATATAGAAAACTACTCAAATTCCAAAACAGTCCTTTGGAAAAAAAAAGAGTATCAAAGAAAATAAAGAGCTAATAAGTAACCCTAATGATTCTAAAGAAGGTACAAACAACGATGATATCTACAAATCAATTTGGACACTCAAAGATTTTAAAGAGTATAAACTTAAAATAAAGAAAAAACTAGAAATGATTAATATCACAGTATGGAATATCCCAAGCAAAATGAAAACCAACCAAATTAGAAAATATCTTAGTTTTTATAGAAAAGCAGCAGTTGTAAACATTAGAGCAAATGGCAAAAACAAGGCAGTATATATACAATAGAGCCAAGAGATAAAAAAAAAAAAGAGCTATTACAAATGATTTAGACAGTACATCTTGAAGAGAGAAAAATGTCAAGACTAACACAAGGCATATTCAACACCAAAACACTTCAAGAGAGAAGTAGATACAAAGTGATAATCAAAGATATTCCCAGATCATCAATAGAATCAGCTTTCTTTAAACAAATTAAAAACACAAAAGCAAAAGCAGTATATATATCTAAGAACAGAAATAGAAATCAATGGCAAATAGCTAGTATTTACTTTGAGGGCAATGAAGATATGCAGATAGCATATAAATTTCCAATGTATTATTACAATACAAAATTAAATTGGCTAGTTAAAAACTAAGAAAAACAAGAAAAAAACAAGAATTAGCAGATCTAGAAGGTAGAAAAGGCAAAGCAGTAGAAACCTTTATAGAAGATAAAAAAAACAATTTATATGTAGAGAAAAAGTGAAACTAATCAAACTATAAAAAAAAATTATCTAATAGAAAGAAGAATTCAGAAAAAGAAACTGTGACTAGAAAATCCCTAGTGAGCAAACCAGATACAAAAAATAGCAAAGATGCAAAAACAAATACTAGCAGAAATAGCTTACTTAAAAAAAAAAAGTAGCAAAATTGAGGAGTTGCTAAACCAAATTCTGAACAGACTAGATAAGCTGGAAACTAAACAAGAGCAACACACAAGTGCTAGAAAAGAAGAAACTCCAAACTGCTTCTAAAAGTAGCTATAGGTACCCAAAAGAGCTAATGCAGGATGGAAGGCCTGCTTATATAACATATAGACAATAACCAATCTCCTCAAGACAATATAGACAATTTAAAAAAACTGAACATTGAATATCACAATATAAACAGACTTAAAGCAAACAAAAGCAAATTTGACTTAATTTTATATTTCATTAAAGAAAAGAAATTAGATATTATAAATTTAGGAGAAACAAATATCTCTAAAAAAGATGGAAAACTTTTTACCAAAAACTCTAAAAAGTATCACAGTTTCTAGGTGATAGCAGAAGAACATAAGTACAAGAGATAGGAATCATTATAGAAAAATCACATCTCTAAAATTAATTACATCAACCCATATATATTAGAAATAAGGCTAGATTTTAAAAGACTAAGAATATATGTTATAGTATTATATCTAGTATCAAATAATCCTGAAATACAAGAGGAAATCTACAAGGTTTTAAAAGAAAGATTAGAGTTTCAAGATTGCAAACCGAACAAGCTTATAATCTTAGAAGATTTTAATATAGATATCTAAGCAGAATAAAAAAGCAAAGAAATAGAAAAGGGAAAAAGAAAACTGATAGTACAAAGACCCAGAAACAAAAAAAGACAAATTCTAGATCTTTTAGAAAAGAAAAATATGGTTGATGCACTCAAGTTAGCAAATTCCCAAAGCTATATAACAATATAGGCTAAATGAGGAAGTAAAACCAAAATTGATTATATTTGGATATCACGAAGCTAGTATTTAAACTTAGTAGTAGCCAAAACATATAATGTAGAATATATAATAGCAAGCAACTACAAGCTGCTATTAGCCAAAGTAGAAATAGAGCTTCACAAAAGAAAAATCTCTTTTGCAAGGCTCTACAAAAAGAATCGAGATAAAGTTAATATAGACTTTAAAAAGAAGACTAAGGCAACTATAAAGAAAAACTAGAAAAAGAACTTAAAAAATCATTTAAAGAAGATGGAAAATGTAAATACCAACCTCTCGATAAAACAGATTCATTAAAAGATATTGATATAGATGAAATATGAGAAAAAATACAAAAAGCCATTCAAAGAGTGGCAGAAAATATGCTTTCTAAAAAAAAAAGAACACCAAAACTTCTAGAACTATATCCGGAAAATAAAGAGCTAAAGAGTCTTAAAAGAGATATAAAGACAACAGAAAAATGCTGTCGAAAACTCAAAAAACTTGCAAATTTGAGAGAAACTACAACTGACAGAGAAGACTCAACAGACAAGCTAGTAAAAGAATAGATAGTGATTCTAGAAAGCAAGTTTACAGATAATTCTTCTAAAGAGAAAACACAAGATGAAAAGGAGAAAACAAATACTAGAACTGAGCTTAAGCTATAGTAGAAAGGTCTATACAAAATAAAGCAATTAAAAAAAAGAAAAGAAGAAGAAAAGACAATTCAAGAACATATCGAGAAGAGGTATACAATAATAGTAAGCAATTAAAAAAAGATGATCAATAGTTTACTAGAAAAACTAACAAACAAATTAAAGCTAGACAGAATATTACTTGAAGAAGAGAATATGAAAGAAAAGCTAATATATAGTTCACAAGAAGTACTTGAATCAGTCAAGAATCATTTTTAAAGAAAGTTTAGAAAAGGAAATACAAAAGTAGAAAACTTTCATTATTCTGAAGAAAAGAGTATAAACGATTAGAAAGTATAGAAGAAGAATGATACGAGAGGCTAATTGAAAGAGTAAAGCAAGAAAAGTGGGATCTAGCTCTATTCCAAACAAAGAATGGGTCAGCTCCAAGGTTATCAGGAATACTCTACTCTTTATTTAAGAATATAGGAAGGTATGCAAAAAGCAAATTCATCAGCTTAGTATCTGCATATATAAAATCAGGAAAAATCCTCAAGAAGTGGAAAATTAGAATGCTCTACTCGATACCAAAAAAAGAAGAATGGAGATACAAACTGAACAACATCTGGCCCATATTACTTTTAGAGACTTTCCAAAAAATAGTTGTTAAAATAGTAAACAACAGACTTAGCAAAATACTAAGAGAAAAAGAAGTACTAAAAAGCAAAAACTTTGCAAAGCTGCTAGAAGAAGAAACAGTGGCACTAATACATCTAATCAACTATATTCTAGAAGATGCCAAAGAAAAGAAAAAAGAGGTCTGGCTAATTTTTCAAGATATGAAAAAAGCTTTTGTTTCAGTAAGCCTCCAAATACTAAACCTGGCACTAAAAAGAATAAAAATCACAGAAAAAACCAGAAGCTTTATTATAGATCTTTACAATAAAAGAAAAATAGAGGTTCTAACCAAATATGGTCCAACAGAATGGTTCTAGCATAATATAGAATTGACCAGAGAGAAGTAATCTCTCCTCTAGTATAGAAAATTTTTTATGATCTTTTTTAGTCACGATACAAAAAAGAAAGAAGTAGGATATAAAGTTCAGGTAGATTGGCCAACAAATCTAAGAACAAATAAAATAGAAAGGCAAAAAAGGAAAATTAAAGTAATCGCCTATGCAGATTATACAATATAAATCACAACCTCTAAAGAAGAGCTCAAAAAGATCCTAGAAATCGCAGAAAGTTTTTACAAAATTAATAACATCAAGATCAATACAAAGAAGTCTGAGCTAATAGTTATAAATAAAAGCAAGAAAGAGAAAAACTACTTAGAATTAAAAGGAGACAAACAGATTCCAATTAAAAAAAAAAAAAAAATAACTAGATTCCTAGAAGTGTGGCTCATAGCAGAGTTTTTTTATCAAAAATTGAGTATAGATTGCAGCACTATATTTTGCCAAAAGAAGTATACAACAAGCTTTAAAACCCTATCCTCAGTCTAATTAAAAACAAAGCTAGTATGGCCAAAACAGTTGCAAGTACAGTACTTGTATATAAGAATATTGTTGGGCTTAAAACAATATAGCAAAATCAAATGGTGCATCATAAAACAGAACTAATAGCCAGATTAAACAACTATAAAGAGATTGGACAGATAATCTAGTTAAGACTAAAACAGGCACAACTAGACTACAAGAGTGCCAATTGTATCTTAGCTCTTAGTAAAACAAGATTAGACAAAGTGAAAATTTGATACAATATTAATTACAAAATCCTTCAAGAAGCAAGTAATCTTGAAATAAATATCTAAGCTTCAGAGCTAGAAAAAGAGCTAATATTAGAAAAACAAAGAACTGAAATAGCAGATCTGCTCAATATTGAAGATACAAATAGTTTTTGCAAGAAAAAAATAATTAATATTTTTTTTTTAGACCAAATTGTTAAAACCACAAAAGGCAAATTACTGACATAGAGGCAAGTTAAAAGAATTAGAGGAGTTCAAGCCAGAGACAAAAGACCCAAGTGGTTTGTAAGTTTAGAAAATAAAGTATTAGAGTTTAAAGATTAAAGAATCTGTAAAAAAGAATATTAGCACAAGTTAGTAAAGAGTTTAGAAATTAGAGTAAGTCTTGGAAAAATAAGTCAAGACTTGAGGAAAAAAGAGTGGATAATATATAAAAACCCAGACAAAAGTCCGATATAGAAAAAATAACAAAAAAAAAGAAAATCAGAGATACTAAAAATAGAATATTGAAAAGAAGAAACTAATTCAACAGGCCAAAATCTCCATCTAGTACAATGCAAAGGATATGAACAAGGTATGAAAGACCAAGTTTGCAAGAACAAAAGAAAGTTTAAAACATTGAAAAGAGTTATAAACAAAAACCTCTTAAAAAAAATATAACATGAAAATAATAAAGTCTAAGAACTCAAAATACCAAAGCAATACCTGTCTCTTAAGGAACCAACTTATGAAAACATACAACTAAATTACTTTTCACTTATCAAAAATATAAAAATTCAGTTTTTAGAAGAAGAAATCATAGAAAGTGAAGTTCAAGACGCAGATATAATGAGAAAGTTACAAGAGAAAGCATGCCTGCTTCAGTGAGAAAAAGAACTTATTTTTTACACAGATGGCTTCTAGCTAAACCTTAAAGAACAATATGATGAAGTGAAAATGGAAGCAGGCTAGGTAGTATTTAAAAAAAAAGAGGAAGTGAAGGATCTAATAACAGACTTTTTGTGTGCAATAACTAATTGGCCTTAGTGGATCGTTTCAAGACATATTAATATATTAATATATTAATATATCTTGGAATGATTTATTTAGACTAGATTAAGATATTATAATCTATTGTTTAATATGTACTAGGATATTATAGTTTATTAATTAATATGTACTAGAACATTATAATCTATTAATTAATATGTACTAGTTTTCTTCTTGTTTATAAGCTGTTTATAGGTTAAATTCTATATTGTTGATACTAACTTTCTATATCTAATTAGAACCCGGGTTTTATATTGTGGATATAAAATATCTGTACTTATTTCAACACTAAGTTTTATATCAATAATACTAATCTCCTACACCTGATTGGAATTTGGGTTTTATATTGAAGGTATAGGCTGTCTATACTCGATTAAAACCCAGATTTTATATTGTAGGTATAGGATATCTATATCTGTTTCGATCCCAAGATTTATACTAAAGCTACTACCTCTTTATATTCGTTTGGATACTAAATTTTATATTGAGGTGCTTATCTTTTTGCATCTGTTTGGTTGCTTGCCAAAACACCAAAATGTAGTAAAAAAAATTATTGTATCAGGTGGCACAGTAAATTCGCATTTAAATTTGGCCAGCACTATAACATTATTCTAGCTATATCATTTTTATTTATCTCTATTTACCTATTGGTATTTGTGACAAAGCCAACTTAGTCTGTTTTTTCTAATAGTACTGTTCCTTTTTATAGTGCTTTCTAGCCTATCTAGTAAACAATATGTTTATTATTTAATTTCAGAATTAAAATTCATAGTAAGGATCAATGGAAAAAACTTATATACCGAGCATATTATAAACTGTATATGAAAGCATATTTGGATAATCACAAATTTTAAAACTAAACGATCTATTATAATAGGTGGTAATACTTTTACTTATATATCCAAGTTTAATTCTACTTCGGCCTTTAAGCTTCCAATCTGGTGATTGGTATTGGAGGCATGATATATATTACTATAGCTAGTCTTTTTGATTACCAGGAAGTGTGTATATTGTAGTTCTACTCTAGAAAAATATTAGAAATTTTACTGGGCCACTTCTTAAGGCAGAGTGTAATATATAAGAAAGTGTTCTTTTTTTCATTCTGACCTGTTTCTGTATTGTTTTCACTAGGTGCCCTAGGTGTTCAAATAAAAAATAAAGTTCTAGAAAAAAAAAAAATTTTTTTCTATACTATTTTTTTTAGTATATATATTAGTATGCTATGCTTATAGATAAAAAATAAAAAATAAAAAATAAATAAGTCTAATTTTTTCTAGATCACCTAGGGCACCTAGAGCAAACCAATCAAGAATGTGTTTTAGTGATCTAATAAAGTTAATTTGCTACTTTGTTTCTGCCTCTGAAAGTTAAAAATTTTCTAGAACAGATTTTTCTAGAGCAAATTTTTCTAAAGCATCTAGCTTCTTCTTATAATAATATGTTTTTGAATAATACTTATCTATATATAAATTACATGTCCTATGTATTGACATGGTGGGTTTTCTACACTGCTTGCAAGGGTTTTGCTAATAACTTTTCTAATGAATTTTGCATCTTTCTTGTTAATCACAAACCTGTCTGCACAGGTTCTCTTCATTAGAAAGATATTAGCAGATAAATTCACCTCTTATTGGATATCTTAAATTTCTATAATTATTTTTTTTTATTTAAACTTTTTTCTCAAAACAATATATTTCGAGTTTAGAATATAGTACACTTTTCAAAAGTTATCTAAAAAATGATCCAATCTGAGTTTTCAGACCTTTTAGAGTCTCTCGACACACCCACCTTATACTATTGTGGGTTTAAAGCTATCGATATAGGTCAATGCCTATATAAAATCTGTGATAATAGTATTAGACCAAAAAATTTCTTTGGTGTAGACAATAAAGATAGAATAAAAGCCATACTTTCAAATTGTGAAAGTTTTTCTTTGCATGAATTTATTGATAGCGATGAGCCACTCTATCTTATTATAGATTTCGATTTGCTATGAGAGGTGTGTAATTCTATTGAACCTAAACTAACAGGCAAAAGATACAAAATTTACTTATTTATACTTTTATAAAGATGTGTTTAGAAATACCCCCAAAGTGAAATCGTAAAACTATAACTATTGCTAGTAGTAGTAATGCAAAAAAAATGTTTTACCATATCTCAACTTTCGGTATAAGACTTCCAAATATTGCTAAGATTTCAGTTTTCACCAATTTTGTCTATAAGAAACTTTCAGCATCTCTCTAGAGAAATAGTATTATCAACAATATAGCAAACAAATGATTATTCTCAAATACTAGAGATGCCTAAGTTTGATGAAAAGACTGGCTCCTATATATGGGTAAAAAAAGCAATACATCCAAAAGATGGAACTATCTTTGACTTTATGCTTTGTCTACCCAATGATGAATCAGAAGTTATGGAAAGTTCTCTCTTAAATATTTTGGAGCTAGAAGTCAAAAGGTGCTTGAAGAGAAATAATGATACTAATAGCGAAACTACTCAAATGGAATTCAATTTTGTAAAATCATTACTCAGAAAAAATGGTATCAAAGGGTATACTCTTTTATTCTCTTCAGATAACATTCCTAACTTGTTTCATTAATATGCAACTCCCCATTACACTGTCTATTATGTGATCGAGAATATACTAGTGATAATATATATATTAGACAAAATAAAAAATTATATAGATTTTATTGTTATCATGCCAATTAAGATAGACAACCTAATATAAGAAACCTCTCACTAAAGCTCATCATTAGTAAAACTGCCTTGGATCAAGAGCAAAAGCTTCTAAGCCTTACAAAACTAGACTGATCCAGAATTTCAGATCCCACCAATCACTTTGTATAGGAGAATCTAATTGACATATGTAATACTGAAGAAAAATTTACCCACAATACTGTATATGAAGCAATTTAAACAATAATAGTATATATCCAAGCTAATACAAAATTATAGGTATTAAAACTTGAGGATTCTAATAAAGATCTTTTCTTTAAAATATTATCTAAACTAGATATCATCAAGTATGAAATTAGCTTAGTTAAGCTAGGAGGAGAGGCAGTAAAATTAGTAAATCTAATAGATCAGGTAGTTATAAAAGGCTTAATTTGATATTGAGGCATGGATTTTTTTCCATATTCACTATATAGCCTACCACCAAATACAAAGTTTTTCAATCTTTTTTTAGGCTTTAAAGCTCATATTAATGAAATTGATTTTACTTTTATAGAACTGATTATCTGGCATATAGAAAATGTTTGGTGTAATAGCAATAAAGTTCTTTCAGAATATATTCTCAATTGGTTTTCATATATTGTACAATACCCTAATAAAAAACCTGATACTGTTTTAGTATTATGTTCTTTTCTGTGTTTTGGAAAAAATATATTAACAGATTTTATTGAAAAGGAAGTATTAGAGCCAGAATTATTCTTTGCAATTTTAGATCTCGGGAAAGTATTAGAAAGATTTAATAGTTGTATACAAGCACGAAAACTTATTCTTTTAAATAAAACTAGAATGGCTTCTGGAAAATGGTATAAGGCCAATAATCACTTAAAATTACTTATTACTGAACTGTATATGACAATAGAGTGTAAAGGTCTTGAGCCTAAAACAATTAAAGTCTTTGCTAGCTATATAGTTTTAAGTAATCATGATATATAAATAGGTAACCAAAAGTTGCATGTATGGCTAGTCGTACTTTCATTAGTTAAATAATCAGAGAGCTTAAATAGGTAATCTTTTAGTTAGGTTGCAAGTATGGCGGCTAGTATAAAACCCAGGCAGACTACTTAAATTAGGTACCAAAAGTACACATGTGGCTAGTTGTATCCTCATGAAATTGATGTAATATCGTATTTATCTGAATAAAGCTAAGTGCCGGGAATCTAAATAGTTACCTTAATATTAAAAAAAAAAAAAAAGTAATCATGATATACCACTTTATATTGAAATGGGTGATGGCCATATAGTATGTCTGGATATATTGCCTCGCTATAAAGAAAATATAGAATATTTTAAACGTCTTGAAAAAATTTTAGATAATTGAAATACATCTAGCATTTTTATGAATTATTTATTAAAGCGAGACCTCTTAAATTGGATACTACAAAATATTTCTAATACAAAAATGAAAGTAGAAACAATGCGAAATTAACTCCCTAATTTCATTTGATTCATAATCAATTATATTTTTTCATGGAGCAATGATAAAATTGAAAAACTAAACTATATATATTTATATTAAACATATCTTGAATGGTATAGTATGAAAGCAATAGAGAAAAACCATTTACTAGTGCAATTTTTGGTAAGAAGTTTTCACAAATTGGTATTGACAGAGCATGTTTATAATATAATAGAAAAAGAGAATACTATTATATCCTTAACTACTCCAAGATCATAGCCAAGCTTCATGAATCTGGTCTAGATGATATTGAAGAATTTTCTGATATATCTCAAGATGATTTGCTCACAAATAAAACCACTATATTCAATGTGCCAGAAACTATTACCCAAAAAATAATCCTGCCTTAGCTAGAAAAGAAATTAGATAAACAGAACAAATCAACTCAAACTCTCTTCAACTATGTGGCAGAACCAGTAGCTTCAACATTTAGGATATCTGAAACTTTTAAGATTTCTAAACCATCTGAGCTAGTAATTAGTAAATCTGAACTTATTAAACTTAGTAAAAAAGCTTCCACATTCTTGGCTAAAGCCTAGCAGGAAGAGCATTTCAAAAAATGGGCTATCGATCACGATAAAGACCCTGATAAGTTTGTGGCTATTACAGAAAAAGATAGTAGACTATCTAGAGAATATCAGGATAGAATGATGTCAAATGCAAATGCTATCAAATTTGCAAAAGAAGATGGTATAGATATAAATAAGATATTTTACATGTTTAGAAAGAAAAGGCTAATAAGTAAAGAAATATAGGACTTTTGCAGTAGAAAGGGCAGATACTTAAATATATATAATTTTAAGAAAATCGAATTTGAAATGTTAATTATGTGTAAACAAATCAAGACAAAAATAGAATATTTTTACTGTGATACTAAAATAGATTTGCCCAATAATCGTTAAGAATTTGATCATGCCTTTTTTTACATCTTAAAAGGTACTTTGGGTTTTAACATTGCTGCATTACAGCATTAAAGATTGTATTTGGTGCAAATTAAGAGCTGTTTTATTGATAAATACTGCTCTTTTCTAATTTATTTTATGTTAATGTTATTTTATATCAATTTCTTTTCCTATTAATATTTTTTTTTTCTATAGGACTAGACTTGAAGCATAAAATTAGCATATAGACTAGACTAGACACTAAAAATTAAATTGTATACAGGGTAGGAATTAAGAACTAGTAAAATAATAAATTTAAGTACTAGTTTTTTAACTATTATTCTATTTTTAATACAAGTAACTCTCGATATAAGAAACTCTCGATATAAGAAAATTGGCTTATAAGAAAGTTTTTAATTGGCCCCGATTTAAATCCAATAAATTTCACTCGATATAAGAAAGTTTATTAAGAAACTCTCGATATAAGTATATAAGAATGTTTGGGCTATCCCTTATTAATTAAATTTGTCGCGATGTAAGAAACCACATTATTCATGTGACTTTTAGCCAATCAAATCTTGAGATTAATGTGATGCATCAAAATGTATACAGAAAATTTTAACAAAATGTATAACAAAAAATAAAAAAGTAGCAATAAAAAAGTATAACGATAAGGCAAAATATGTAACGTAATACAGAAAAGTGTAATGCATTAAATAAAAAACAAAGAAAAAAAAAACAAAAAAAAAACTCTACCTAAAACGCACCGGCAAAAAATTTGATGAAACGGTTGCATATGTAACACTTGCTCTAATACCATCTCAATAGGTGAATTCTCATTTTAATTTTTAAGAACTTACGTCTCAACTGTACTAAAAAAATACTTTTTTAAAAATCATAGCTATCAGAAAGTTTTTTAAATTGTTAATTTCATCGTATAAGTTACCAAATAGAGGAATAGAGGACAAGTTAAATTGTCTCATATCATTTTTTTATGATTGTTACTGGTCTTGGATTAAGTATAATAATGGAAGAAAGCAGTGGGTCTTCGGTCAATAGGTTGTTAGTTGGTGGGTCTTTGGTCAATAGGTTGTTGGTCGGGACTTCAACTAGTTGGTCTTTACCAGTAGTTGGTGGGTCTTCAGTTAGTAGGTCTTTAGGTATTGGATCTTCGGTTAGATCATTAGGTGGAGGATCTTCAGTCAATAGAATATCAGTTGGGGATGACATTTCAGGTTATGATTCAACTTCTAAAAGAAAAACATTTAATACGAATGATACTAATAATAACAAAAAACAAGCAACAGACGGTGAAAAGACAAAACGAATCACATTAACAAAGGCTCAAAAAGCCGAAATTTGTTGTTTACGAAAGAAGGGCTACACCCAACTTGCACTTGCAAACAAATTTAAAATTGGCGAATCAACAGTCTCAAAAATACTCAAACAACAAGATTATTTTTTTTCAATTGATCCTAATTCAACACAAGCAAAATCTAAGCGAAATCGCTCAGCTAAGTATCCTCAGCTAGAAGAAGTACTGAGCTTGTGGGTTTCAAAGGCTGAAGCACACTATCAGACAATTACAGGTGCAATTATCCAACGTAAAGCTTTCCAGTTCGCTAAAAAACTAAAGATTGACAATTTTGGGGGGTCAGAAGGGTGGCTCTCAAACTTTAAAAAACGATTTCATATTAAAGAATATACAAGACAAGGAGAATCTACTAGTGCTCCAATAAATGATATTCCACGTTATCGTGATGAACTAAAAGACATTATTAAAGAATATCACCCCCAAGAT